GTCCTGCTGGCTGAGCCACTCAGCTGGTCTTAGAGTGACCGCCACGCAGGAGTGACGTCCCCTCTCACCGTGGGATCCACACACTTCAGTCTCAACCTTTAGGGCACATCTGGGCTTCTATTGTAGGCTTATTGAGACGTGAGCTTTCTTTCTACGTCTTGGCAGGACAACATCGCTGAGAAAGCCTGCTGTGGGGTGCCCTGCAAGTGCTCCGGACAGAGGGGAGACCGAGGGCCCATCGGCAGCATCGGGCCAAAGGTATGGTGCGCGGCCCTTTCCTCACTCCCGCGGCTGGATTTCCCGAGCCCGTCATGACCTTGGCTGGAGATGGGGAAGGGGGAGAAGGGGGGCCCCCCAGGTTGCAGGGCGGGAGATCCGAGGAGCAGACTCGTGTCCAAATGTCCGCTCCCTTCTCCCGGCCCCGGGGCGAGGGGCCCTGCTCCGTGACGCGTGGGTTCTTTGTGCTGAAAGGATGGGAGGACCAGCGGGCACCCCTGGCCGTGGCTCACTGCGGGCGACCAGTGGGGGTGCTTAGCATCGGCCTCAGTTACAGGAAACGACAGGGCTTCTGGGTAGATCGGGAGCCTTAAAGGTCCCGATAGAATAATTGCACCAAAATAATGAATAGAAACTGTTCAGTGCTAGGCAGCGCCGGGGCCAGGCTGGTTTTAGCCCTGCCACCCGCGGGCAGGGCCTCGGGGAGAGGCTACCCATAGAACCAACCCCTTTGCTTTGTTCCAGGGCATCTCTGGAGAAGACGGCTACCGAGGCTACCCCGGCGACGAGGGCGGGCCCGTAAGTGGTCTTTCCTTCCTCGGATCTCACCCCTTCCTTGTTCCTCGTGGGGGTCGGACTGTGGACCCACAGTCTGCTTGGCTGCCAGCAACCCTCCCACCGGGAGGACGTGAGTTTCTAGCTTCCTCAGGCCTTTACCTGGTCAGATTCCTACCCGCTGGAAAAAAGCTCGGTGGCCGGAGCGTGACAGGTGTGGTCACGGAGCTCTGGCTGCCACTCCTTCCAGGGGTCTCGGGGGGCAGGGGAGTCGGTGCCTCTGAGGCCCAGGGCTGCCGAGTCCCCCATACTCAGCATCTGCTGAGTTCTGATTCCCAAGCAGAGGTGGAAGTGAGTGGGAGCGGGTGCAGGGGACCCCAATTGGTGTAATCGGGGTTACGTCCTTTAGGGGAAGTCTCCCAGGGAAGGTTTAGATGGTCAATAGCCTCAGTCCAGCTGAGGGGTGGGTAGAGTCTTTGGGAAGCGGTACCAGGGACAGACATGGTCTGAGAGGCTTTGAGACCCTAGAAGAAGGCCCAGCCCTGGGATTACAGGGTCCCGTGGGAAGCAGGTGAGGTCACGGGGTCCCAGCTGGCAGTGCCAGTGTCCAGGCTGGGCACAGCCTCATTGGAGAGCTGGGAACCAGGGCCACACAGAGGAGCAGTCCGGCCAAGCGCTCTCCACAGGGGCCCAGCTCCCGCCCAGACCCAGTGCCCGGGGCCCGCTCACGGGGCCAAGGCCTCGAGGAGCTACCTCTGTGCTGCAGAGCCTCCCGACCCCTCCCTCCAGGGATGCTGTGCCCCGGCCTGGGGGGCAGGGATGCTGGGGCTCTGCTGGCTCCGTCAGCGTTCCCAGTGGTAACACCTGCTCCGAAGGCAGGCCTTTCACAGAGCCCAGACCAGCGGGGACACGACAGCCAGGGGCTCCAACTCACAGATGCCTCTGTCTCCCCAACAGGGTGAACGTGGCCCTCCTGGCGTGAACGGCACTCAGGGTTTCCAGGGCTGCCCCGGCCAGAGAGGAATAAAGGTACCGTGTGGGGGACCCCAAGTGTTGGGGGCCACCGCACCAGCCAGGTGGGGAGAGGGGCCAGCGGCACACGCAGAAGTGGGCAGTTTCTCCCAGGGCCCCTGGGGGAGGACGGCTGCCCGGGCCCCTGCCCGCGGGGTCCAGCAGCCTGTGGCCTCTCCTGGAGGCAGCCCACAGTGTGGAGGGCCCAGGGCTCAGGAAGGGAGCCTGCGAATGCGGGAATAGTTTCCTATGGAAACAGGGAGCCGCCAGGAAACCGTCACAAGGACAGACAGGACGTGGGCCAGGGCGGAGAGAGGGCCAGTCGGTGCCTGTGGCTTCAGCCAGGGACCCGAGAGGAGCCAGGAGGTGGGGCAGCAAGGGAGAGACCGACGCACTCGCTGGTCCTCTGTGTGAGACACTCGGACTCAAGGACTGATGAGCTTTCCATTTGCCGAAGTTTGAGAGCAGACGCTAAGGGGAAGGGCCACCGTACCACGAAGTCACGGAGGGGCCTCGGGGCCTGTCCCTGGCTGTCAGGCCCCACCCACCCCTCCTTCCCAGGGAGCCAAACCGCCCAGTGCTCGGGCCTAGGAAAATCAGCCTTAAGACCTCCATGTGACGGTGCGAGGGCGATCCCAACAAATAAATCTCTAATAGTGAATTTTCAGCTGCTGCGGCCTTCGGGGGCTGGGGGGAGCAGCCCCTGCCTTGGCCGAGGGCCCAGCCCCCGGGAACGGGCTGACGGGCTGACGTTTCCTCTTTCCCTTGCTTCCTAGGGCTCCCGCGGGTTCCCAGGAGAGAAGGTACGAAGCTGGTTCCCCTTTTATATGTAAAACGTTCCGGGATTTCTCATGTCTCCTTTGCCCCAAGGCCTCTAGCCTCACCTGTGCGTCTTGTCCCCTCGCAGGGCGAGCTGGGGGAGATCGGACTGGATGGGCTCGACGGAGAAGACGTAAGTGGCTTCGTGCTCTGAGTCCTGGCTGCTGTGGTCCTGACGCTTCCAGGGGCTGGAACCCGGCCCGCGGGGGCAGCTGTGCCAGGAGTGACGTCTTATCGTTGTCTTTGGCAGGGAGACAAAGGCGTGGCCGGTGCCTCCGGGGAGAAGGGGAGTCCCGGGAGAAGGGTAGGTGCATTTCCAGTGCTTCGTGATGGAGAAACTGTAACCACTTCACCCAGGGGCCGTTTCGCTCGTTCGTGCCCGTTAAGACCACCTCCTCCAAGCAGCCTTCCCAGACCCCCTCCGGGGCTGCCTCCTCGGCGTCCCCTAGGTCCCCGGCAGCTGGGACCGATTACATGATATTTTGTTTGGAGACCGTGTCCCATAGGCTGGGACTGGGTTTGTCTTGTTGTAAATAAATCCCAGCGTCTGCCCGGAGTGGGTCCCTAATAAATATTTGTGGGTTACCCGAACAAATTGGAAATATTTGGAAGGAATTTTACCTTCAATGCTCAGCCTCGGTCTATTTAAGGTTTGTGGGCTGAACAGTGTGACTTTAAGGACAATGATTTGCAGCTGTCTTGGATGTTTAGTCTCCACGTGTATTTTTTGTTTAGGGGGACAAAGGACCTAAAGGGGACAGAGGAGAAAGAGGGGAAGCTGGAATCCGAGGTGACCCGGTAAGAAGTCCTTATGGGCAGTTCGGGACCCGGGTCTGGGGAAGAGGGTTGTGGGAGCAGAGGGTCGAAAGGGGGGCTTTTGCTTTCGATGTCGCTTTCAGACGACCTGATAAACTGTGTGACGAGCCCCTTTTCCTCGATTCTGGGCTCGCTGGGGACGTGCTTGCTGTCTGGCTACGCATCTGCCAGGCCTGTCACATGAAGACCTGAGAAGTCCCCTAAAATGCGGTCTCAGGACTCTTCACTCCAGCTGGGCCCGGTGGTCAGGACGCAGGCGTGGAGCCGGGCCCCCGACACCCCGTTCAGACAGCGTCCGTCCCACCTCCCTGGGCTGCCGGTGGCGTCGGCCAAACACTCTGAGCCCAGGCGGGACGGTGCCCCCGGCCCCCTCCTGCCTCGTCCAGGACGGGAGGACGGGAGGCCGCCTGGTGACAGTCATGTCCTTGAAGACTATATAACACAGATGAGAGAAGCTGAAAACACCTGCCGCTCGTTTCCTACAGCAAACCTAAGGTGCTCTTCTCCTGCCCACGTGGCTCATTCCCCGACCTGTGTTGTTCCAGGGTGACTCCGGACGGGACAGCCAGCAGCGAGGATCCAAAGGAGAGACCGGGGACATCGGGCCCATGGTACGGTGCTCCGCTCCCGGCTCCCTGTGCTGGGGGCCACGAGACAGACCCACGCTGGGCTGTCTCCAGCCCGGGGGCCACGGGAGTCGTCTTCGAGGCTGTGAATGTGGGAGGTTGGGAGCAGAGGGTCCCCTGAACCCCACTGTGTGTCCCCCGGAAGGAAGTCTCCGCCAGGAATGGAGCAATCCGTCCAAGAGGGGCCTCTTCCCTGCAGAACTGGGGCCCCCAGATGTTCACGGAAAGGGCTTGTCAAGCCAGAGGCATGAGGGGTGGGAAGCGTGATGCGCCCACAGTGTCTGCCCTCCCTGGGGTACCGGCCCCCTCCCTGCGGCGTGTTGGGCAGTGTCGCCGGGTTAGGCTTCTCTGCAGACGAGACTCTCATGCCGTTTTCTTTCCACACCAGGGTCTCCCCGGGAGAGACGGCGTGGCTGGCAGGCCCGGGGAGCCTGGGAAGGACGTGAGTGCCCTGAGCGCTGTGGGGGGCTCTGCGCGGTATTAGCTAGCACCCCCTAAATCCCAAACTCTGCCTGGGCAGGGCTTCTCCACTGCTTTTTATTGGGGAGCTTAAGGGAATTTCTGAAACCGTTGCCACCCAAATCGTGCTGCTTGGAGAAGCCGCTCGTTCTTGTCATTTGCTCTGTGCTCAGTCTCTTCTCGCTCCCCCAGACCCGCTTCCTTCCTCCCCAAAGAAACATACCGAACAGGCGCTTTTAAAAGGATTATCTTTACTGCTTTCGAAAATATGGCCAAGTTTTATCCCACTAAATATTTAAAAAGATCCAAATGAAACTTGAATTGGGGGGAGTGAGGGAGTGAGGGCAGGAAGGCTGACAGGGTCCTGTGCTTGCTGTTGGTTTTAGAGCTGTTTTTTTGGTGTGTGTGTATGTGCGTGTGTGTGAGAGAGATGGTGTGTGCATGTGTGTATATGCGTGTATGAGAGATGGCGTGTGTGNAAACACTCTGAGCCCAGGCGGGACGGTGCCCCCGGCCCCCTCCTGCCTCGTCCAGGACGGGAGGACGGGAGGCCGCCTGGTGACAGTCATGTCCTTGAAGACTATATAACACAGATGAGAGAAGCTGAAAACACCTGCCGCTCGTTTCCTACAGCAAACCTAAGGTGCTCTTCTCCTGCCCACGTGGCTCATTCCCCGACCTGTGTTGTTCCAGGGTGACTCCGGACGGGACAGCCAGCAGCGAGGATCCAAAGGAGAGACCGGGGACATCGGGCCCATGGTACGGTGCTCCGCTCCCGGCTCCCTGTGCTGGGGGCCACGAGACAGACCCACGCTGGGCTGTCTCCAGCCCGGGGGCCACGGGAGTCGTCTTCGAGGCTGTGAATGTGGGAGGTTGGGAGCAGAGGGTCCCCTGAACCCCACTGTGTGTCCCCCGGAAGGAAGTCTCCGCCAGGAATGGAGCAATCCGTCCAAGAGGGGCCTCTTCCCTGCAGAACTGGGGCCCCCAGATGTTCACGGAAAGGGCTTGTCAAGCCAGAGGCATGAGGGGTGGGAAGCGTGATGCGCCCACAGTGTCTGCCCTCCCTGGGGTACCGGCCCCCTCCCTGCGGCGTGTTGGGCAGTGTCGCCGGGTTAGGCTTCTCTGCAGACGAGACTCTCATGCCGTTTTCTTTCCACACCAGGGTCTCCCCGGGAGAGACGGCGTGGCTGGCAGGCCCGGGGAGCCTGGGAAGGACGTGAGTGCCCTGAGCGCTGTGGGGGGCTCTGCGCGGTATTAGCTAGCACCCCCTAAATCCCAAACTCTGCCTGGGCAGGGCTTCTCCACTGCTTTTTATTGGGGAGCTTAAGGGAATTTCTGAAACCGTTGCCACCCAAATCGTGCTGCTTGGAGAAGCCGCTCGTTCTTGTCATTTGCTCTGTGCTCAGTCTCTTCTCGCTCCCCCAGACCCGCTTCCTTCCTCTCCAAAGAAACATACCGAACAGGCGCTTTTAAAAGGATTATCTTTACTGCTTTCGAAAATATGGCCAAGTTTTATCCCACTAAATATTTAAAAAGATCCAAATGAAACTTGAATTGGGGGGAGTGAGGGAGTGAGGGCAGGAAGGCTGACAGGGTCCTGTGCTTGCTGTTGGTTTTAGAGCTGTTTTTTTGGTGTGTGTGTATGTGCGTGTGTGTGAGAGAGATGGTGTGTGCATGTGTGTATATGCGTGTATGAGAGATGGCGTGTGTGCATGTGTGTGTATGTGCATGTGTGTGAGAGAGATGATGTATGTGTGCACATGTATGTGCGTGTGGATGAGATGGTGTGTGTGAGAGAGATGGTATGTGCGTGTGTGTGTGTGTGTATATGTGTGAGATTGGTGTGTGCGTGTGTGTGCATGTGTGTGTGCGCGTGCGCTGCTGGGGCTCAAGCAATGAAACTAGACTCCGTTTTCCAGGGAACCGCAGCTCACAGTGGCTTTTTAAGACATTTCANATGAGATGGTGTGTGTGAGGGAGATGGTATGTGCGTGTGTGTGTGTGTGTATATGTGTGTGATTGGTGTGTGTGTGTGCATGTGTGTGTGCGCGTGCGCTGCTGGGGCTCAAGCAATGAAACTAGACTCCGTTTTCCAGGGAACCGCAGCTCACAGTGGCTTTTTAAGACATTTCAGAAATGTCGGCTGCAGAGGCTCGCTGGGCGCTGAATCTCTGCGTCCTGTTGATGAGTTTGTACCTAAAGCCGGGGCCCAGAGCTTCCAGGGCCCAGGGGGACTCGGAGCTGGAGCTGGGAGCAGGTGGCGCCCGCACGGGGGGAGTGTCTGGGATTTGTAATCCTCAGGGTCCCGTTCAGGATGCTGGTGGGTGCCCAGCGCAGGTCTCTGCTCAGGCACTGGCTGGGGCTGTGCAGCCGGTTCCCAGCAGCAGCGACGTTTGGAGGGCTGAGATGTTAGATGGTCGGGGGAGCCTGGGGCCTGAGGAAATGACCCTTGTCTGTATTCAGATCATATGCTGTGGGCATAATTTTGCTTTTAAAATTCAGAAGACGATGATATTTGAAAACTCTCTCTTAAAACTTCTGGGTATTATTTTTGACTAAGGCTGCTGAGCCCTATGGGGTAAGCCACGGGAGCCCCTCAGGTGCTACAGCTCATACGGCCCAGCTCGTGAGCAGGGCCAGGCTGGTTTTCACGAGTGACGGTCACACATACAATTCCTTTCAGTTCTGCACAGGTGGGAACTCGGGTTTTAATCCGACACAGTCGAGGGCTCTTGTAGACTCAGTTGCCTCCTTTGCAGCAGGGTGAGGCCCAGCGGCGTGGCCTCTTCTGTCCCTTGGACCTCGCTCTGCCAGGCTCGGGCCCAGACGAAGCACGTCCTTCTGCTGGGCTGCCTCACACCCACATCACCCTCAGGGCCCCCACAGGCCGCCTCTGGCCTGAGCAATGAGTCACTGAGCACTGGTGGCCTCTGTCTAGACTGTCCCTTTGGGAGGGGCCAGCCAGCGCGCTCCTCGGTTGGGGAGCCACCCGGCCCCGCCCCGCCCCCACCTGTCCATGTGTCATCCACGGAAGGAGGCCACAGTCTCCCATTAAAGAAGCGGCCACTACAGCGAGTAATAGCAAAGCAGTCGCCCCAGAAGATCCCCGGGCTGGTGCGTCGGGAGCGGAGACTGCGGCCCTTGGGTTGACGCAGCGACGGGCCAAGCCTGCTAACCGCTGGCCGCTACCGTCCCCAGAATCCAGCTCCTCGCCTTGCAGAGACCTCCCCAGGACACCCCCGTTCCCACCCAAACCTCCCGCCGCGGGGGGAGGAGGGGGCGTCACGGCGTGGGAACGGGCGGGTTACTCAAGCAGTGAGGCCGCGTTTCCTTAAACTGAGGGTCACCTCCGAGCGTGGAGGGAGGTGCTGCCAGGACACGGCCGCGCTGCGCCCCCGGGCTCGGGGTTCGCACCTGGCCGAGGGTCGGCGATGCTTGGCCAGTGCGCCGAGCGCCCGGGGCCCCCTCCCCCGATAATTAGCGGCCCCGTGACTTCTGCAGTCAGTCGGGAAACGGTAGAAAAACAGCCGGCCTGACGGCCCCTCGCACGTTCCTCACTTGGAATTGGCCGGGGCCCTGCCGCCGGGCGGCATTATTGTGCTTGGCAGGGCCCAAGTCATCCTCGAGCCTGCCATCTGGGTGACTAACGGGGCAGCGTGGGGGCCAAGCTCGCCGGGCATGAGGCCGGAGGGCGTCTCCTCGGGCGGACGGGGCTGGCACAGGGCGGGTGGCACGTGGGGGTGTGGGTGACGTCGCACGAAGTCCCCGGGCGGGCCGCGTCTGTCTCCCTCACGGCGTGTGTGACTTTCCCGCAGGGTGGCTATGGCCGAAGAGGACCGGCAGGCGCTAAGGTAAGCCCGAGTCGGCGCCTCTCTCCCGTCGCCACGATGGACTCNGTAAGCCCGAGTCGGCGCCTCTCTCCCGTTGCCGTGAGCTCTCGGGGACTGTCCTCGTGGCCGCCGCCCGCGAGTGAAAACCTCTTTTGTCCTTAGCTACGAAGGACTGTCCTTGGGGCGCAGTCAGCAGCTGCCAGTTTTTCTCATCTCCTTAAATTTAGCATCTTCTAAGGGACTCGTGACAATGACCACAGCGGGGACAGGGTGGGGCGTGACGGGAAAAAGATGGAGAAGGCAGTTCCCGGGCCTCCCTCGCCCACAACGTGCCCACCCACCGGGTCGTGAGCGAGTCACAGCGCCCGGCGCCTGTCTTCTCACCTGCGCCGTGCAGGTGGGGGCCTCAGACCCCGTTCCCGGAGCCATCCTGCAGGGAAGCGGGGCAGGAGGGGTGGCGACCGTCGCCGTGCAGGGTGGCAGCTGGCTCCCCCTGCTGACCGTCTTCCCTGGAGTTGCTCGGGTCGGAGGCCCTGAAGCCCCTCGTAGAGCTGGGCTGGTGGCCCCGACCCCTCGCCAGACAGGGTATAAACCATCCTGGCCCCTCCCCGCATCTTCTCTTTCTTCTTTCCAGGGCAACAGGGGTGGTCCTGGCCAGCCGGGCTCCCCGGGGGAGCAGGGGACCAGAGGTGCACAGGTCAGTACCTGGGGGACTGCACGCCTTGAGCCATTTCCCCAGATGCTCTTGTATTTTTTTTTT